GCCCATAGGACGATGCTCTGATGTCATCACCCTCGCACATTGGTCATATGTTTACAAAAAACGATGTTAACACTTTCTCGTTCTTAATATATGCTATATTTAGGGTCGATATGTGTTGAATTTACTTTAAAATAGCAGATCACTGTGATTCACTTCTCCGCGGCTCCTCCGTGCAGAGAGGCCCCCCCCCCCCCCCTTGACAATTCACGAGCGTCTAACTCTCTCCCCCCTGTGAAGAGATATCACAGGGGGGGGTTGGGACACACACATTCCGATGGCCAATTCGTTTTAAACAAAGAGTGGGGTGGGGGCTGGTGAACGGTATGGTCAATGTTTGTAAACACTGTGACATTTTGACTTTATTTGATCATTTCAGTTAAAAACTAACGTTCATATTTCATATTACTGTTTTGCCTGGCTGGACCTGTAATTTACAGGAAAGGAGTGCACGCTACTAAAGAGACACGCTACCATGGAAACCAAACAATGGTGTTGCTGTATTGAAGTCCGAGTGGAAACAGTCATATTTGGAGCGTTATGTTAGAATGAAACAGCGAGGTCGTGACTCACCAAAAAAAAGTGTTACTTCACTAACTGTAAGCTTGTCACTCAGAGTAACCTACAGTTAACTTAACTGTTGGAAAAGAAAGATCAGAGTTAGGAGTGTGAACACACAGCTGAGAGCTGCCGTTTCATTCTGACTGTTTAAAAAACGGTAACAACGGACTATTTTTCTTAGCGGATGCATGTCAATTTAAATCAATACATAGAACTATGTTTTAAATCAATAAAAATATTTTCTAAATCCATAAAAGCATTTTAATTAATATTGGGAGTCATGTCGTTACTTTGTTGAGAATGTGGCCATGTAATAAGCGGGATAATTTGCAGCGACTTGGTCATTATGGGGAAAAATAACACCCAGGGATCAAGATCCCTCCGCGACGCGGAGGGATCAGTAATTTTTAGTGAATTACTGAGTTTAGGCACGTTAATAACATTTTAATGAAGTTGAATACAGTATATTCATATTTGTCAGTGATTTCATGTCAATTCGGCGAACATAAACGATTAAATTAGGATTAAAAATCGAGAGCCGGCTGCTGTTCGTTACGGTAACCCAACTAGGACACTTGACACAGTGGCTTTTGGCAAAGCACACAAAGAAAACAAAAAAAACCGAGAGAGATGAGTTATTGTTATTACAACGTGACTTCACTATTATTTAACAACTATTTTTATTGGGTTCTTTTATTTGGGGTTAAGTACATTGTCAGAATAAGTGAGAAATGGATTTAACTTCTGTTAGACAGCTATCATACTGAATAAATATTTATGCAAAAATGTATGGCATTAATAATGTATATCTAATTACATTTAAAAATGTATGGCATTAATAATGTATATCTAATTACATTAACTGTGAATGTCTTTCATTTTATTTAAATGAATAAATTACATAAAACATTTTCCATAAAAAAGTTGATTCAAGAACAAATCAGTACTTTTCTTATATGACTATTATTGCTAAATTTGAAAGGTCTTTACCAGCTTTGGAATTATATATATATATATATATATATATATAGCACCTTCTGCCATCCCATCTCTACTGACATATGGATCTTAACAAAGATCCGCTATACATTAGTACCAGATATACTGTACACGGACATTTTAGTGAACCAGACCAGCTGTTTCCGCCGGGTCTTCGCTTCCCGGGCATCACGTTGTTTACAAGTGTGTTCAGATGCTAAATGACAAGTGCAAGTGACAATTGTTGTCGTCTTCTCTGTGAACGTTTTTTTCTCCGTTATTTTGCCATTTTCAGATTTAAATTTCGAGCGGAAAGCTAACCAGGAAGTAATAATTACTTAAGCGGAGAACGGAGAAAGTAAACGTTACAGCAGGCATAACAACAGCCGGTGTTTATTTTATTATAATATTCAAGAACAAATCAGTACTTTTCTTATATGACTATTATTGCTAAATTTGAAAGGTCTTTACCAGCTTTGGAATTATATATATATATATATAGCACCTTCTGCCATCCCATCTCTATATATAATATCTATCCGTGACATATGGATCTTAACAAAGATCCGCTATACATTAGTACCAGATATACTGTACACGGACATTTTAGTGAACCAGACCAGCTGTTTCCGCCGGGTCTTCGCTTCCCGGGCATCACGTTGTTTACAAGTGTGTTCAGATGCTAAATAAAAGTTTAGCTTGTACTTTTGATACCCCGCCTCTCGGCACCACAACATCCAGTTTACTGTATTTCACATGAGCGATGTCGAACATTGAAAAGTCCTTATAAAATCTCTGTTATTAGATCAGTACTTTTCTTATATGACTATTATTGACTTGAACACTGAGAATGTATTTATTAACTTCAGACATTTGAAATATTTGAAATCAGATGAAAACAAACTGTAACGGAGCCTGCCGTGTTATCTATGATTACTATGCCTTACTGTACATTCATAATTTCAGCCGGAGGTAGGTGGTAGGCGTTGCGGAGGAGCAGATTGCGAGTGAGGTGCCTGTTCTAAACGAACTATTCCAGCTGTTATAAAGCATTAAATAAAAAGTAAGCAAGGAATACAGAATGTTTCGTTACGTAACTTTGTTGAGAATGTGGCCATGTACATGTAATACATGGGATCATTTGCAGCGACTTGGTCATTGTGGGGAAAAATAACACCCATCCTGATCGTTTCAATGAAGTTGAATACAGAATATTCATATTTGTCAGTGATTTCATGTCAATTCGGCGAACATAAACATCAATGATGATGATTAAATTAGGATTAAAAATCGGGAGAGCCGGCTCGTTCGTTTTTTCCGACTAAACAACATCTATTATTTAGAAGTTGATTTCACATGACTCCAGTGTGGAACCCCACTGCACCCCCTGGTGGATCAATGATCCCTTGCAGCTGGCTTCACAATAATTAAATGTATTTATCATGGGGGCGGTATCAAGTCTGACTGGGGGCCGGCCGGCCATCACGGAACGTGCATGAACCGATCACGACCCTCGCACTTTAAACTGTCCAAAATAAGACGCTTCATCTGTACTTTACTCGTTACTTTACTCGCAGGGCCGGCCCGCCCATCCCTACAGGCAGATCACGCAGACTGCTAAAGTTTCAAATGTTCTCTTTAGTTCAGTTTCCATTGTCGCATAAGACTGATCCAGATAGCTCTGACCATGGCTGTCCTCTGTCTCTTGCTATCTGTATTTTGCGCAGTATATCTCTGAACGATGCGATGGTGATTCCACTGTGCAAATGGGCAACATTTTCTCTACTATGAAGGATGCTACAAGCCTGTCCATCTCTGCTTTGGTTACCGGTAATTTTTGCTGCTTCGGAGTCGGCGGCGGCGCACTCACAACATCCTCACTCTGGGTTCGGGGGTCCTTAGCTATTAGCTTCACCTTAGCATGTGTTCTTTGCAGGTGTTTGTTGAGGTTTGACGTGGTGTTTACAGCAGTGGATAACAGCTTCTGGCCTGGACACAGTTTGCACCTCACCGTCACATTCCTGTCTATTCTTCGGACGAACTCAAAATAATGGGCATACCTCCACCCCTCGAAAGTTATCGCTGACTCAGCCATGTTTATGCAGCACTGCACGTGGAGATGTGCAAGTCGCGCTGATTACGTACATATAAACCTGCGGCGGAAACCCCTCTTGTCTGTCAGTGTGATTATGACTGATTTTATAAAAGTAACAAAGTAACGCGTGTCGGGGCAATGGTAGTAACTGTAGTGTGATTACTGAATTATAAAAGTAACGCGTTACACTACTCCGTTACCGACAAAAGTAATATTGTTACACCCAACTCTGGTAATGAGTAATGTGTAATAGATTACTTTTTTTGAGTAACGACCCCATCACTGGTTTACAGTAGTCTGCCGTTCTTATTATACATCCATGTAGTCCGCTGTATAAAAAACGGTAGTTTCCCCACAGCAGACGCACATTTATGACATCCACTGGCGCATCATAAATACGTCGGATAGTGTAAGTGCAGTCGGATTCTCAAAGCACCGCAGTCTCTTTTCCTAAGCCCTTTTGAATTCTCCTATCCACTATTCCTTGTGTGACGTTTCACACAGAGGTTAAGGAATAGTGGATAGGAAAAGATGATAAGAGCTGATTTTTGGACAATTCGACTGCAACCCTTGCCTTCGCCAACCAAGACTTGTCCATCAGAGGATGGAGAAGCGTGATTCGTCACTCCACAGAACACGTTTCCACTGCTCCAGAGTCCAGTGACGGCGTGCTTCACACCACTCCATCTGACACTTGGCATTGTGCTTGGTGATGAAAGGCTTGCATGCAGCTGCTCGGCCATGAAAACCCATGCCATGAAGCTCCCGGTGCACAGTTTTGGTGCTGATATTAATACCAGAGCTGGTTTGGAACTCTGCAGTTATTGAGTCAGCAGAGCTTTGGCCACTTTTGCGCACCTCAGCACTCGGCGACCCCGCTCTGTAACTTTATGTTGTCTGCCTCTTCGTGGCTGAGTTGCTGTGGTACCTACACTTTTCCACTTTGCAATAATACCACTTACAGTTGATCGTGGAATATCTAGGAGAGAAGACATTTCACAAACTGACTTGTTGCAACGGTGGCATCCGAATTCGAACAGTACCACGTTCGAGTTCAGTGAGCTCTTTAGATCGACCCATTCTTTCACAAATGTTTGTAAAGGCAGACTGCATGGCTGGGTGCTTGATTTTATACACCTGTGGCAATGGGATTGAATGAAACACCTGAATTCAATGATTAAGAGGATACTTTACATAGTATACCCAATACTTTTGTCTATATAGTGTATCTGCAGTCCCACAAATATGCATAAACACAATCGATTATTAAACGATATTAATAATAATTTTTTAAGTCTTATATTTTATTGGCATGAAAAGCAGAGATTCTTCATCTCATTTCAAATGGTGAGGAGGGTCAGAACGGTACCTGTCTGAGAAGTCTCAGAATCAGTCTCCGCACTGCTGCTGCGCTCTAACCTTGGACTTTCACCATACTCTTCTGTGGCCATGGTTCTTTGGATGTTCTCGTACCTGCAGAAACAACAAGTCATCTTTTCACACAAGTATGCTGATGGAACATTTATTTGGCTTGTGAAGTCTTGCTGTTTATTATAACGGGTATCTGTGTCTTTCACAATCAACTTTACAGGTTATTGCATAATTCGTATGACAACACACCCAACATAATTTATACTACAATGTTATTGCAGTATACTGTGTCTACTATAATCCCTACAGTTGGAGCTCTCTCTCTTTATTCCCAGTCTGACCTCCTGTTGAGTTGTTCCATCTGCTGTGTGGATCCTGAGCGGGGGATGCCGTGGTTACACTTGCTGCTGTGGCTTGGTCTCTGCCAGGTTGTGGTACGGTTGACATGATCCACATAAAAAACTCTGCCGTGGCTGTCAATACGAGCTTCCCAGTCTATGAAAAAAGAGAGGTGGGGGAGAATCAAACAGAGTTATAAGCCAAGTCATTGTTCAACTTTAGAATTGGTCGTTAAATCACATGTGGTTTCCAGCGTCTCCATAAGTAGATGGATAGGTGGATACCCTCTGCCCAATTATAAGTAGGCTCAGATTAATGAACTACACAAAACAGCATATAAATCCTTACTTTCCATACATTTCAGTGGTCTTAAAACACATTTTACAAAATGTATTTCTTTGCCAACCATCCGCACAAGGACTATGTCTTTATGTAAAGTTTTCCCATTTTTCAATTTCTTTGACACTGTAAGTCTTAAAATTAAGACTGAGTGAATAACTAATACCTTCATGCTTGGGGCAATCATGCCTTGGAGATCTCCAGGGATTTCAGGTAATTTCTGACAAGATGATTAGTTTAGGCATCCTTGTTATGCAACAAGTTATTAAGAATACAGATGTAGCACTCCAGAAAGGACTCCACCCAGCGGATTCCATCCAAAAACCCAGCGAAAACCAGTGGCTGGGATTTTTAAGCCCTCCCAGATTTCCCCATTTGTTCAATTTCAGGATTTAACCATGAGATAAATCATGGTATTCATTCACAAATACACAAAGACAACTGGGTGAACTTAGGTCTTCAGTTTGTTTCATGGACTTTCAGTACTTCAGTAATGTTTACAGCTCTGCAGTTGTGTTTGCTGAAGAGCATTTAAACACATATTTGTTATGGTTTTCACAGGCTACTATAACGAAAACACATCAATATTTTAGATAAAATAAAGTATATCTAATCTTATCTTAATTGTAATTCAATAATATATAGTCTTTATATATTAAATAATCATAATAATAATGTAAATGTTTACACTTCTTTATTTTTTACCTCATACTTTTACCTTTACAATAGTTTGCTTTAATATGCAGTATATTTTTTGTAATATTGTTGTGGTGTTTTTACACAGTACAGTAGATCAAAGTAAATCAACTCATACATTATCATGTATTATATTGTGTTGTATAAGTAATATCATACATTAACCCCATTATAGCAGATGCCTGCCATATTGGCAGGCATCGGATGAACACATTTATTTCTAAATATAAGTTGTAAAAATACTTATATGTATTTATAACTATAATAATTATTATTATTAATTAATTATTAATACTAATAACATAATGATTCATTTTACTTTCAGATGATAATACTTTTCACTTGGGCAATTGACAATTTTGAATGCAGGACATTTACTTTACTACATTTATTTTCTTCCACCTCTGATTTAAGACCCCGTCACTGTTTTTAAAACGTTAATTAAATGTTTGATATTTCCAGAGACCCTTTCAGACCGGCAATCCTGAGAGCTGCTGAGTTTCATTCAGACTATTTAAAAAAACAACGGTCTGATTTTATCATTGCACAACAATGAACTCAATGTGTGATTGTTATAGCAGTAATATTAAACACTAATAATACAGTAAACTATTAACACTGTAAATATTATTGTTTGCCTGTGGTGAGATGACGAGGCTCCATTAAAAATAAACAATTTTTTAGTGAATTACTGAGTTTAGGCAAGTTAATAACGTTTTAATGAAGTTGACTACAGCATATTCATATTTGTTAGTGCTTTCATGTCAATTCGGCGAACATATGATACATTAAATCAGGCATCCTCAAAGTCCGGACTCCGGTCCGGATCCGGACCGAACCACTACTGTCTCTGGACTCTGAGCAAATTATACTTTTCATATGTATTATCTGTGTTATCTGCGAGACATCGCCACAACGCAACGAGTCAAAATTCTCCGCTATGTCCACTTCAAACAGCGCTCTGCATGTACGACTGTTCCACTGTCTGTGTGTGTCTGTCAACGCATTGGTCCAATCACATTCAGCATCCCGTCAGCGTTTTTTCCCCCCACCAACAGTCTGCGAATCAGAGGCACTGTAGGGCGGGTCTTCACGGAATGCGGGTGGGAAAAATGCGTGTGTGTTTAAAAAAAAAAGTCAGAGCGAGAGTTAACAGCTCATCTAGTTGCATCTGTACTGTAGCTAGTAGCCTAGTTTCACCTACCGGGGTGGCATGGGGTGGTAACTGCCACCCTAAAAATAGGCCTTGCCACCCCAGTTGGCAGCTTTGTTTTGAAAGAAAAGTTGTGGCTCATCGGACATATGAGAGAGAAAATCTCTAATGTCCGAGTGCAAGTGAATGCAGCACAAGACGCACGTCTTGTAACCCCTCCCCCGGCCCTGATTTCATTTGAACGGGACGGCGCAAAACGAGAAGCATTCGGACCCAAGTACTGAAGGAATGAGGTATTTGCGGTCTACAATGACAGAGAAGAGACTGTCAATTTTGGCTGTACTCAGCATTGAATCAAAACGCACTAAAGCTGTTGATCTTAATACGTTTGTGAGGCGTTTTGCTGAACAAAATTGTAATCGCCGCATTCAGCTGTAATAGACATGTCAACTTGATGCTCTGCTCACGGATGAGCATACAAAACTGTTAAGATGATGACCTTACGTGTGTAATTATATATTTTTCTTTGATTTAACTAGGCCAGTAGGTAAGGACTTTCCACTGGATAATAACTGAAGTATAAAAGAATGCATGACTGAAGTGATGGAGACCATGTTTGAAGGCAAACAAAAAGAGGAAATAACAGGTCAAATCAAGCAAATCCCCCTCTCAGATTCCACAGCAACCAGAAGAACATAAATACTGGCTGGTGATTTGATTAATCAGCTTTGTGATGGAATAAAACATGCACAGTGCATTTCCTTAGCTGTGGATGAGTCCACTGACACCACTGACAATGCTCAGTTGCTGGTGTTTGTGAGTTTTTATGATGAGGCAAAGGGGGAGTTTGTTGAAGATGTGTTTGGCCTGACGAACCTCAGTGGACACACAAGGGGGCAAGACATTTATAAAGCAATAATGGGAATGCTGAATGAAAGAGGGTGCAGCTGCCTTTATTCATAACTGTGCAGCTCACACTGCGACTCTGAGGGATCAAGCACAGACACAATAACAATGAAAACTGCTGCATACAGATTATTTTTGTTTTTGCAACCTCGTGTTAAGAATCTTGTTGCAATTGTTTAAAAGACCGTAATAAACGGACCTTTGTCTTATTGAAACAATTTTTTTGGACCTTTAAGATTTGTATTTGAGTACCCCTGCATTAAATGATCGTGAGGATGATGATTTAAAATCATTTGTTTGAGCCGGGCTGCATTTCCTGATGAAAAAACAAACCGATTGTTTTTGTAGTTGTAGTACGCCAACGTGGATTAAACAACATTATTTTGTTAAATTAAAAAAAGATGATGTTTTGTAAATGATTACATGTCTCTTATTTAGCACAGAATATGATCCTATCCGTGACATATGATAGGATTTTAACAAAGATCCGCTATATCAGATATATCTATCAGCTGTTAGGCAAACTGGCAACAATAAGAGATCAGCTTTCTGTCTAAGCAACACAGTCTCACTCCCTGCGCGTCAAAAAATGACGCTTGGTCAGGGTCCTTTGGCGTCAATTTCTTTAGCACAAAGTCTCCTTCAGCGTCTTTAACCAACGTATAGAGCTTTCAACTGATTGCAATGTATTCCCATTGGCGGTGATAGGGGAGCACTCCAGCCATCAAAGAATTTAGGTACGGAGCCGACCGCGGCAGTTAAAGACGCTGTGACCGTCCGTCCCATTGGATAACGGAGAACTTTACACCTGGAAGTAAGTATTATCCTTACTGTTGATCGATTTGACAGTGATAGCTGAACTCATCAATTCAAAAACACCACTTTGTCCTTTCCACTACATTAATTGGATTCAATTGTGAACAATGCTCTTGTGTTTTTCCCCTTCGAATCTGAGAAACAAATAGTTTTTTCTGAGTTATGGATAGCGGAAGACACTACCCTTCCCATAATCCTCAACTAACTTGGATCCGTTGCAGACATTGAACGCAACCCCAAAAGTGTAATGGGCTATTTGTACAAAACAAAACTGTGTGTATGCTTGCTTTTCTCTTTGAAAGTCATCATATTTTAATAAATGGTTCGGCTGCATTAAATATAACACTGCCGTAGTTCTTTATTTATAGATCCCTAATTAGAAGACAATTGGACAAACTAGAAGAACTCCCACAAACGATACGATATTACTTTATTTATAAGTCTGAAATTTGACTTGCGTCACAGCAGCTCCATGTCCAACACCAACATAGACAAATATACAGACACAAATACATGAAACACAAACAACATTTAACATAACAGCACAATCAGTGAGAGAAAACATGCTCAAAGACCCTTCAGCGTGCATTTAATCTGGGATTTAGCTCTGTATTTACTGTGAGGATTGACTGGTGCACAAAGGAGTGCTTCAGTCTGACTTTATTGAATCGTGGGACCCTGTATCTCCGATTAGATGGTAGCAGTTCATATTCACTGTTCAGAACATGGTTTGGGTCAGAGATGATGTTGTTGGACAGCCTCACTAGGTTGTTATGTTAGGCTGTTAGTTATGTTAGGCTGAGTCATAGAGTCTCTGACAGGGTTGACCAACAATCTTTGAGCAGATTTGTAACAGGTGGAGCAGTTTTGATTTTAAAGCTGCTGACAAACACTTGTACAGATGTAGCACCTAATTTCGGACAGTTTGAAACGTGAGGGCCGTGGCCGGCACGGGGTCTGCCCTCCCTCAAAGGAAAACCTCCAGCGTGACTTGAGACCGCCCCCTTGATAAATAAATGTAATTATAATGAAGCCAGCTGCAATGGATCATTGATCCACCAGGGGGTAAAGTGGGGTTCCACACTGGAGCTCATGTGAAATAAAGTCTGATACAGTACGGTAGATGTATGTCTGGTACTACTGTATAGCGGATCATTGTTAACCTCTTAAGCCCTGAGCCTGTTTTTCAGGTCTCAGGCTCGAAAATGACATTCCCAGAACAAATGACCATATCTTCCCTTCTAAA